ACAGAAGTAAACAACCTGGCATACAATCGGGACGGCTGTCCTTGCCAAAACTCAAAACGGTTTGGTTGAAGTCTGTACCCTCCCCAGCGTTTAGGCTTCGGAATCAAACCCCTGCATACAAAAATTTGTAAGGGCTCTTTTGTTATTGATTTCCGCACATTGGAAGCTTTTCCATATTGGCGATAATTTGAGATGATGAACACATTGGATCGAGATTACAGATCATTATTGAAGATAAGAAGTAAATAGATCAGGCGCTTCATTGGGAAAGAGATTTGCGATAATCAAGCCAATAAAACCACATGCACAACTGCTTATAGAAGTAGTCACGAGTCTTTCTTGTTTTTTACTCCTTTAGATTTAACAGTTTGATGGTGCGGGTGGAAATCCAAATTTTGACAAGTTGTGGAAGCCGCCTGAAGATCGTGATTTTGTGCCCTGCATACAGCCTAGTTCTAATTATATTAGTAAAGAAGTTGTTCTCTTTGAAAAATTTCTTTCAAAGTATGAACGTAATACTTGTAAATTGATTCTTCAATTTGACATTTTCTTGTTCAGTTCCTGATCGGGGTATAGTTTCTAGCTTGATAATATTCATTCCGGCTATATGATATATCTGTTAATCTAACGTATTCCATCATTGGTGATGTTACCTGATAGAGATACAGACATCGAGACATTATTTTCGACAGATGAACATGATTGTCTGCACAATATTCATACATCTATGGGGAGACGTTAGAAGTTTAAAATGTTACATATTTTCAAATTTAATGACTAAAATATTGGCAATCTAGCCATTGTACTATGTAGTTGAATATGAATATCAGTTCTTCTTGATCATTTAGCTGACTGGAGTATGACTTTACTACTTTCTATCTCTGGGCTGTTTCCTTGCGACTAATATTATTTTTGCTTATTTGTTGACTTGCAGCAATTTCTCTGATGATTTTGATGAGCACCATTTCATTAATGCTTTGGCAAATGATGTTGAAGTCGTAAAGAAACTTGCTAATGAATTGTCTTTTGCTTCCAAAGTTGTTGAGCATTTTAAAAGAGGGTCTGGTTTGGTGTACTGCCGGGATACGATAGGTAGCCTTTGGGAGGAATATCAGGTTTGTTTGTTGACATCTTTACTGTGATTGATCGGTTATGCCAACTTTCCTTCCCATTTTTTACCAGGTTATTGGGGTAATGAATGACCTTTCAAATACATGAAAAATATAGTGCATACTCAGCCTAACGTGTGGTTTCTTTCATCGATTTTACAGGCAAGGATCACCTAGGAGGAGAAAAGGCCCTGTCCCAGGAACAAAGGGCATGGTTAGGTTTTATTCCGAAGAATCATTTTACGAGAACCCATTACCGGATTGTTTTTGCCGGAGTATACTACAGATTGTAAATATATCCATCAGCAGCATCAGATAGAGCAATTGCTTTCATAAAAGGTCCCCCTATATTGTTTAATGGGGATGGCGGAGTTTGTAAATGTGGAATACAAGAAAACTAGCTCCATTTCAATAGATAAGTTGGAGGAGGAGAATCGGTTATGAGACTATAGCTCTACAAGTAAAGCGTAGAAACCAAAAGCGGGAAATTCATATGCTCTTGGTAAGTTGCCAAGCCACTTTTATCCATCCATCATTCATTTGGCAATTGCACGGTGAAATCTTATTGTTTTTATTCTTTTCAACTCTTGTTTTGCATTTTGCACAAATACATGATGAAATTAACACGGAATGTATCCAACACTATATTGCATGAACACTGGCAAACGGGTGCATGCCAAAGTTTCTTGATTTGGGGATATATACTAAAGATTAAAGATAATGATTAGGCAACTGTCATGTTATGCAAGGACTGAATGAAGGGTAAGCGGTGATTTTGGACCCATGGTCCTTTTAATTAAAAATAAGTGTTTTATAATTCTTTAAAAACTCATAAAATTATAAATTAATCAAATAAAAAATTTACACCTTAATCTTCAAAATTTTAGGATTTAATTCTGATTTCACTCCTCAAGTTATCATGTCAGATATGATGATCATGATGTTATATCAAATGTTTTTAAAATATAAAAATCGAATTTAAAATATATATAATAAACATTAACTCTCAATTCCCAAAAGGAACAATACAAATCACAGCTGATAAACAACGTTTCAATGAAAAAATACAAGTCATTTCCACAGCTAGCATGGATTTTTATTGGGCATTGATATTAATACTCGCAGCGATTTACCCTAGTGAATGTCTTATTTGATGAATAAACCTACGATAGTGGCACTCGAAATTTCAAACAGTTAAATTAAAAACCGGTACTGGTGGTATAGTGTAAAATTCCGGTGGTGTTAAGTCGACCGGAGGAAGACCGAGCAGTAATATAATATTGGCCGACGTTTTGGCTCGCGCTTAGCAGAATGTCGACCGTCTGCCCCGGTTCTAATGTCAAGGAATTGGAGAAGGAGCGTCTGGCATATGACGCATTTTGTCCGACAATCGTCAAGCTGTGTTGCGCGATGGCAAACACCATTGTTTCATCGGCAACTGCATTTATTAAACGCAGGAGGTAGAGGCCCTGGTAATCCACTTGTAGCTGGTATGACGTATCTGTACACACAAATTATGAAGAGTGTTAACTGTATTATAAAAAATTTGGAGTGAAGAATTCAATATATATATATATATATATATAATGATATAAAGATTTATATAATAAATAAAATTTTAAAGTGGATTTAATCAATAAATTAAACAATTAATATGAGAAATCGAAAGTTATTGTGACTATTAGATGCATACCGTTACATCCATATGTTTCTCCGAGATGGCCATTGATTGCGTACGCATCTGGTTGGCCAGGAACAGCGGCTTCAGTCAACTCTTGTCTAAACCATTCTCCAAGTATAATTGTATGATCTGAAGTAGGTGCAGGGAAAGGATATTCTTCACCGGCGGCTGGTAAAACGACAAAGGCGCCATGAACGGTAGCTTTAGCCCAAGCACTCCGAGCGCGCCACCATAAAGTTCCGATTTCATCGTCTAATTCGATCTCGTAAGTGAAGTTTCTTCCAGGCTGAATCAACTCATTCACACCATTAATTGAATCCCGGATGCCCTCCCTACCGATTTTCCCAGAAAGAATAAACAAATAAGATCTCAAATAAACTCGGAACAGAAAATATTAACTCAAGAATGGATCAGAAAAGGAGATTTAGAGAAATAGTATACCAGACAATGGAAACAGCAAATCTTCCTTGATTATGGACGTTGACATAAACGGTGTCGTCTCTTCGGACCCGAACCTCAGGCCCGGGAAAGCTGCCATTGACGGTCAAGGCGGTTTTTGTGCTGCAAAGCTTCGTAAACTCTGCTTCTTGCAACTGCAAATTAAAGGCATATCGATCATATAAAGAGAAACAAAACAAAGAAAGGAAGTTATAAAAAGAAACTTACAAAGAATTCGTAATAAACGTCATCGGCGCCGGAGAAGAGAAGGATATTGAAAAACAAAAGCACCGATAACAAAATAAAGGCCTGTTTCTGGGAACCCATTTTAATGATAATGTTTTCTTCAGTTTGTTCCCTTTCTTTCCTTGGTACTCTTTGGGTTTCGTTTCTTCTTATTTATATAAAAATGGCATCTTGCTGATGCTCAAGTCAATTTGGTTGAAGAACGGAAACGAAGGTTCTGATACATTTTCAAGAAATTCAAAATCCTCAGCCCAGCCAACTTTGTAGACGTATAAGCTGACCAGCATAATTCACAGTCAAATTTGAAATGTTAATATCTAAACTTTTATTATTAATATCTAAAAATGTTAAAATATATATAAATTGTCGGGACTATAATGTTTTTTTATTAATTTTATTAAAAATTTATAAAATATCATCTAATTTAAAATAAAAATAATAAATGTATATGCTATTATTAAAAAATGTTTAAGTATACAAAAGGTGTCCAACATATACCTATTTTTTTTTTATTTTAGTGTCGAACGTTTATTTAATTCTAATTTAATACCCAACGTTTCATTCCGTTACTCAAAATAATAAATGAACAATTAAATTTGAATGTTAATCCATTCAAAATGTCACCTAACTTATTTTTTAATATTTTCTTCTTCGTCTGCAGCAACAACATTTGCTCCTCCTTTAGACTTCAAGGCACCAAAGCCAAAGCGATTTGCTGTTAGACCTGATAAGACTTGGGAAATTGCTGGGACGACTCTTGTCTTGTACTTTCGATTCGTAACTGGTGTTTTTGTTTCTGGGTATTATCCCGTCTTTCTATTTTTTCTTCATTTGTTTGTTAATTTCATTGGTGGGATTCTAAAGGTTGATAAAAAGTGGAATGAATTAATAATGTGAGAATTGGGGTGAGTTCGAAATAGTTGTATATAGTAAGATTGAAGATTATGGACTTGAATTATTCAACTGAATTTCTGTTGTAATCAGTGTTTACGAGCAAAATATTCTTATATGCTATAGTTGTGGCACTTCACTTAATGATTCATGTCAATGGCATCGAATTGGACTATTAGATGTCCAACGATCTTGTATCTGTGGAGCTATCCCGCATCCATTGTTTCTGAAAATGAAATTTCACCTGGACAATATTGTTTAAAAGCAAGAGGTTCGGATTCGTTGTTGTTCTTTGTTTCATTTCCTTATTTTTCTGCTACAATATTAAAAGATATTTTTAATTTTAAAATATTTTTATCTTTCATTTTCATTTTCCGATTTTTAAATAAATTTTAGATGAAGCTATTTTTAATCACAAATCGATTTAAATAAGACAAACTTCTCAATACTTTAAATTAATATAATAATTTTCGATCATTAGACTAAGAAAGATTTTAGTTCAAAAATTCGGAAATGTTAGTATTGGAAGATGTTTTCTTATATCAAATGCTCATTGTTATAACTGACTGACAATCGCCTTTGCCTGTACAGTCCAACGTCTCAATCAATTCATACATGCCATTAAAAATATCTCATTATGATGTTTCCATGCGTCTTGGGGCAGCTAAGCCATTGCAAGTATTGTTTAAACTCTGCATATTTCCACAAGAAAACAGTTGTGGCTCAAAAATATCTTTTTCACCCTCCAACTTGACTGGGTGTCGAAGAAGTAATAGTTAGGTCCGAATTAACTTTGAAAGTAATTAATTAATTACTAGATTAGTTTTAGTAATTAAGAATTAAAGTCTTTCAATGTATAAATATACAGTTGAAAAGCGGTCAAATCTATTTATTTCATTAATTTTTCTTTTTAAAATTCTTTGTTTCATTTAAGTTATCATTACGATTATATATTGATATTAATTTAAATATTTAGATGAAAAATAATAAAAATAAATTAAAAACTACAAGTAATAGAACAATATTTTAAACTACAATTATAGGATTAGCCCGCGTTTTTACTAAAAAATTATCATATCAACGAAATATTATCTGTCAGACACCCTTTCTTCAAATGTTAATGATCTAATACCCTTATGACAAAGCGCGGATCATGAAACGTGCATTCGTGAGGTTCTGTCCTAGCTAGCGCCATGGTGGAAAGGCGCGGATCATGAAGCGTGCCTTCGTGAGGTTTTGTTCGAACTGACAATTTCATTTAAATCCAACCGTCCGCCATAAATACCGCCCAATCATCCGTTCGCCTCCCCTCCCCCTATAAATACCACATCCCTTTCAACACTCACACCTCAAACAAAAATATTATATTTCTTCCTTTTATCTATCATTCTATCAAGTATTAAGAAAGTATAGTTATAATTTTTAGCAACATTTTATTTTATTTTATTATAATCTTTTAATAGTTTATTATTTTATATATTTTATTGTACTAATTTTTTTATTACTTTTTGCAGTTATAAAATGGCAGGTGGGTTGCTGCATTTATATGATAATCATATCTCGAGTCATTCTGTCGATACAATAATAATTTTAAATTATATTATTTTATTTATTATAAATGTTTAATTTAGTTATATTCTAGTATTAGTTTATATTTTAATTTGTATACTATTTATTTAATTAGGTAAATAACCATATATTAGATTCATTTATTCGTAACTTTAAGTTAGAGATACTGAGTCGTGTCTGGCTGTATTTAGCCTTGGCTGGATTCGATGACATAGCGAAATATGAAGCTCATTGTAACCTTGAACCCACCTTATTTCTGCACTGATTGAAATATAGAGACCAGAGACACACAAATTCTATCTTCAATGTGGGGAGTGTACTATTATGCTGAAGGATATTTTTATACATTTGGGGCTTTCGGTAGATAGTGATGTTATTTCTGGTGTGGCGGATGGTGATTGATATTCCTTGTGCGATGAGTGTCTTTGAGGTATCCCACCTAATTTCAACAGTGGCTAAATATAGTTATCCTGGTTGTCTACAAATTTTCGACAGTTGAGCGAAGAATATTCCGAGGAACAAGCTAAAATATTTATCCGGGTTTGCATATTACAACTCATAGGAGATATCTTGATGCCCGATAAATCTCGCAATCAAGTTCATTATATGTGGTTGCATCACCTTGCAAATTTTCGAGTTACTAGCTCATTCAATTGGGGATCCGCAGTTTTGACATCTTTGTATAAAGAAATGTGTCGGATAACTTATTATCAGAAAAATGCTATCGACAGATGCTCTTTCTTCTGCAGTCCTAGACGTGGTATCGCATGCCCTTTTTATGTCAAGTAGTGAAAAACCTGTTATTCTTCCAATTATTGTTGAGGTAATTTGAATACTAAGTTCGGATATAAATAATTTTTAAGTATATAATGAAATTTTTTACACTGAATAGGTGATCATGTATAAGAAAAAATCATCGTGATATACCAGACGAATTGGAAGAAATCTGGCTACTCATTGATCAAAAAGCTGGTACAAAGATATGTATTTAAATTTTATTAATTACCTTTAATTATCGTTATATAATTAGAATATTATTTTGATAAGAATTATATATATTTGTTTTAGTTTCAATGGACTCCTTATGGTACTGAAAAAATGAGGCATTGCATCCCACCTCACTTGAGTGGCCCAATAGATGTATGTATGGCGGCGATCCATCTAATATGTTATGCTATTTTCGAGTGGCATCCTACTGATCACGTGCTCCAGCAATTTGGTTTCATACAATCTATTCCTGAAGCACCTACGAATCTCGACAATATTCATAACGTATATAGACGGGGCAAAAAAATTTTAACTGGCTGATGAAGCACAACGAGTAGGTTATCTGAGAAGATCAACGTGGATGCATTCTCCGTACAGAGTTGACTTATGTCAATCATTATTCAATTGTGGATGACTATTATTAATGGTTCAATATGAATGAGAAGTTGTTCCTACTTTCCGAGGAAGCACGAGGCGGAAGCATTCATCAGCATCGAGAAAAACATCCATCGTCACAACATCATCGTCCCCTGACTCGTGGATGGAGAGCAGAAACTTCCGGCTCGGCTCATCCTCAGTTGCAGTATCGAAACCATCACATCAACCACCGTCTACACCTGTGAAACACATTTAAGGAACAAACATCGATATACTTGTTTTTATTTATTTTGTTTCTTAATTTTTTTATTTAATTATGGACTTTGTATTTATTTTGTTTCTTAATGTTTTTATTATTTAATTGTTTGAATTATAATGTTTTTATTTTTTTATTTAGTTTGTAGTGTTTTTATTTAATTTTCACTTGAGTAGCCATCACTTGAGTAGAACATTAATTAAAAGTAAACGAAAATGAAATAACACAAACTGAGGCTTCATAAACAACAATTACATCGTCATGGCATCAACGGTTACGTGATGATAAAAAAGATATACATTTTTTCCTATTATGGTCTAGGTTTCTACAATGCCCACATCTTTTTTTTTCTTTGGACGTCTCTCAAATATTCATATCATAATGAATTCGAGTGGATTTTAGATGACATGCCTCCCTTAATAAGGACGGATCTGGTATAATCGGAAGTTAATTCTAAACCTCATCTAGGTCTTTCTCATTAATGCATTGTGGGTAAGTCCGAATAAGCCGATAGAATTAGCATTGATCACGAAGCACTCGATCATTGTGGTATGCATGACAATTTTCAAAGTCGACTATTATCCTAGGATTCAATTTGTGCACTACCCGAAACCAACTTGGTAGTTCGTTGTAAGATGAATCTCACTCGCCGTGAAGTTTTTTAATGGCATTCTATTTTACCTTCTATGATTTCCTGAACGAGACGGTGTACCCATATTGAGATAGTATAGCTGAAATTAGCACCACAATAGCTATATGGGAGCTTGCTTCGACCATGGGCATGATAGATCAGTAGATAATTGTTGAGTTAATCAATTGACGAATATGACCAAGAGGGGGGTGAATTGGAAATTAAAATTTTGGTGGAAGCTTTTACAGAAAATTGAAATAAATTTGCACAGCGATTTAGAGTGGTTCGAATTTCTCAACCAAAGTCTACGTCCACTACCTTAGCTATCCACACTAAGGATTTTCCACAAATTCACTAATTTGTCTTTCTTTTGAGGACAAAGAGTAACCTTACAAACCCTCAAGAATTATACCCCAAATTCTTGAGAACACTCTCTCCCAAAGAGAACAATACAAATTTGCAAACTTACAAGGAAATCCTCACAAGGTAGATTGTTTGCACAATTCTAGAACAAAGAAAAAAACACTCAAGAATGAATACAATTGAGCGCAATAAGTGTTCTTGAAAGCAAAATGAATATTGAATGAAAGATAGGCTTGAAATGCTCAAACTTGAGGTTTGATGCTTTCTCTTTGATTCTCTCTTGATTCTAGATGCTTGATGTTTCTTGTTATTGATCAATGGCTTCTAAGCTTGCTTAAATATACCTTGAATCACTTCTGAACGTTGGGGATCATTAATGAAGTTTTGGAGCCGTTTAAGTGTGAAAACAATTATATTTCTGCTTGGAGCGTGGGGGAATCGGTTCCCTAGGTGTAAAATTCAAATATTTCGACCGTTAAATAGTGGGGGGAATCGGTACCCCCTGGGGGGAATCGGTTCCCTCCGAGCATACTGGAATTCTCGGAGCCAAACCATTCAGGGGGAATCGGTACCCCTTGGGGGGGAATCGGTTCTCTGAGCAATCTGAAATTTTTGGCTTTGAAATGGTTCGAAATATTTTGTAAAATTGTTTTGAAATTATTTTAAGATTAAAACTTAATTTTACACTTGAGTAAGGATTTAAAATGAACTTTGAAATACTTTGAGTAATATTTTGATATTCGATTTAATATATCGAATATGCTTAGAAATATCTTTTTCAAAATTATAATTCTTTTAATTTAATTTGTTATATCGAAACATCAAAATGTTTTCAACAATCTCCTCATTTTTTATATAACAAAACATTTTAAGATTTTCTAATTTCAAAATGAATTTTGATTTTGAAAATACTACTCCCCCTTACTTTAGCACTGCTCCTCTTCAAAAACTCCCATTTTAATTTAATAACATTTCTCCCCCTTTTTGTTAAATCAAAAAGATTTGTAAAAGAATTTAAACAAGGTTTTGAAATCATTTAGCTAATTGATTATATATATAGTTTAAGCTGCTAAGATCACAATCAAGAGAAACATTAACCATTAGTTTCATAATCAATATTCATAAACAATGTGACATGGAAAAATTGGTCATATATCTAACATGATGTAAATGATGCAATAATGAAGAAATTTAACCACACCAAATATATAAGTTCAAACATATATAATCCATCAAATAAGTTCAAATATCCAACAACAAAAAGAAAACAATCCAAAAACATTTAAAATGTTTAAACAATAAGCTTTAAGTTCAAAGTACTAAAGCAAAACACAGAATCAAGCATCCGTAGGAGGATCGGGAAGAGGAAAACGTCGCATAGCGGCCATTTCATGAGTGAGTTCATTAATACGAGCGTTGGTTGCTTCATTGTTTGCACGCATCTCCCGAAGAATTTCCAATTGTTGAGCTCCCATTGTGGATAAATGGACTCTATAGAAGAAAAGCAC